CGCTTGAAGACGTGAAGCGAGCTATCCTTCAAGAGGATTTCCGCCGCCGTGAGTTGGCGAGTGCGGATGGCGCTGGGGCAGCGAGCATCGGCCGTGGATATGGTCGAGGAAGAGGCAGAGGACGAGGGGGAGGAAGGTTTGGTGGCAGCAACTTCGGCGGAGGCTGTGGGAGTGGCGGTTACGGCAGCGACGAGAAGAACTACGGACGTGGTCGCGGCCGATTCGACGGCGAGTGTCACTATTGCCACAAGAGCGGACACATGTGGCGCGACTGCTACAAACTCCCTGATGGTTGGACCCCTGCTCAAGGCCAAGAGGATAGAGGAGCAGGAGGAGGGAGAGGAGGAGGCCGTGGAGGCCGTGGCGGTCGCGGTGGCGGAGCTGCAAACATGAAGAGCGGAGACAACGACAAGGACCCGAGCGACGATTGATACCCGGGTCTATTCTACTTCGTGTCGACGCAAGTACCGGCTGGTCCAGAGAAGGATGAAGGCTTTGAGGAGCCAGCAGCTGTGGGGAAGGTGACCCTACACCCCCTGGACTATTGGGTGATCGATAGTGGCGCTACCTATAGCATGACACCTCGCCCGGACTTGCTCACCGAACTCGAGCCGTCACCGGTGAAGCATGTCACATCGGCTTTGGGGCAGCGAGCAGAGGTGAAAGGCATGGGGAAGGCCATGTTCAAGGGTGCTGATGGGAAGATGGTGGGCCTCAAGAACGTGCTTTGGGTGCCCAGCCTTGCTGCAAACCTGATTTCCGTGCGGCGGTTGGCAAAGGCCGGCATGGACACTAACTCGAAGGGAGCCAAGACCTACACCGCAAGGCTTGGCGATCGGATTCTTTGGGACCTTCATGAGGACAGAGATGTCTACAACGAGATGTGGCAGATCCCTGTGGTCCCAATGCCTAAGGAGAGGCAAGTGGCAGCAAGCGTCAGCACTAAAGGTGGAGCGGTTGGTAGCGGCGATTGCGCGGACGGTCGCGCTAAGGAGAAGGAGTCCAAGAAGTGCAATCTTGGAGGGACCAGCAAGTTCAGTGAACCTAAGGAGAGTGGTGCAGCAACCAAGGAGCAGCAAAAGGGTGAGGAGAACCCCGAGGCAACAGCGGAGGAGGACTACGGAGAGAGTATGTGGGGCGCTATTGCGAGCGCGGCATTCTCCAATCCAACTTCGGCTACGGGGGAGTGTGATTGGCTCACCTTGCATCGGCGCATGGGGCATGTGGCCCTGCCCATCTTGCAGCAGCTAGTGAAGAATGAGATGGTTGCTGGCATACGTGTGAAGGGGGAGCCCGATGAGGTGCTTGGCTGCCCGACGTGCATGCAAGCCAAGTTCACCCGTTACCCATTCTCTAGTTCGGAGGCAACGGCTAAGGCACCACTTGATGAGGTGGTGATGGACGTGGTGGGCCCCCTGAAGCTTGGAGCTGCTGGAGCTGAGTACTTCCTCACTATTGTTGACGTCTACACCCGTATGACTTGGGTGTACGTGCTGGCCAAGAAGAGCGACGTGGCTGAAACGTTGAAGGCGGATTGGTTCCCGATGGTGGAGCGGCAACAAGACCGTCTAGTCAAGTCAATCCGCACCGATCGAGGGGGAGAGTTCCTGAGCAAGGAGTTTGGGTTGTGGCTGAAGAAGAATGGTATTCGACACTCCCTCACCATGCCATACTCCCCTGCAATGAACGGCATCGCTGAGCGAGCGAACCGCACAATCACGGAGGCGGCACGCGGGTTGCTCATTGAAGCCGGGCTACCCGACTATTTCTGGCCTGATGCGGTGCGGAGCGCATGTGTGGCCAAGAACAGAGCCTTGACTCATGTGGGAGCAGACAAATGGGTGCCCTATGTGGAGTGGCTAGGAAGGAAGCCAAAGGTGGATATGCTTCGGGTGTTCGGGTGCATGTGCATGGCGCTTGTGCCTAAGCATCTTCGGCACAACAAGCTTGGTGCCAAGGCGGTGTGGGCCGTGCACTTGGGCATGGCTCAAAACAGCAAGGGATGGCTTCTTTGGGACCCATTCACCAAGAAGTTCTTGGTGAGCAGGGACTGCAAGTTCATGGAGAACTTCATGTACAAGGATTGGAAGGCGGAGAATGAGGCGAAGATAGGCGTGCGGTTTGGGGAGGTGAAGAGTTCCGGTTTGGAGCATGTGGAGCTGCCTTTGGAGCTGAGCAGCGGCAGCACAACCACGAGGCAATCCTCCCTTGAGAAAGGGGGAGAGGAGGCCACTGATGCAGAGGAAGAAGAGGAGGAGGTGCAGCAAGTGAGTGAGCGTGCACCGTCACTCCCTTCCCGTACCACGAGTGCTCCACGGAATCGAGCCACACCGCAGCAACGCCAAGGCCTTCAAGTCGCTGCAGCTGAGGAGGAAGGAAGGGGGAAGAGGAGAGTTCAACCCCCTAATAGGCTGACCTATGATGCACTTGGAAAGCAAGGCACGACAGCCCTGGCCGGAGCGGCAATGATGGTCGGAGACGATGAGGAGAGTGACTACGAGGAGTGTGCCTTCGCGTTCTTCTCTCCGGTGGAGATGCCGGGAGAACCAGCAACTCTCAAGGAGGCTTTGGAGAGTAGTGATGCTGAGGAGTGGAAGAAGGCTTTGGAGAGTGAGCTGAAGAGCATCGAGGAGAATGACACGTTTGAATTGGTGGAGCTACCGGAGGGGCGTACGGCGATAACGTCCAAGTGGCTCTTCAAAATCAAGTCGGATGCCGACGGCAAGATCGAGCGTTACAAGTCTAGGCTTGTAGCCAAGGGGTACCAGCAGAAGGAGAAGGTGGACTTCAAGGAGCTGTTTGCCCCTGTGGTGAAGCCGACGACGCTGCGAACCCTATTCGCGGGAGCCGCCATCAAAGGATGGGTGGTGAAGCAAATGGACATTGTGACGGCATTCCTTAACGGCATCCTTGAGGAGGAGATTTTTATGGCACAGCCAGAGGGGTTTGATGATGGTAGTGGCAGAGTGTGGAAGCTGAAAAAGGCCCTCTATGGGCTGAAGCAGGCCCCTAGGCAATGGTACATGAAGCTGCGCGAAGTGTTGGAGGAGATCGGCTTCACTCCCTCAACGACCGATCACTCCTTGTTCATGCTTGGCGAGGGGGAGCAGAGGAGCTTCATGGTGGTTTATGTGGATGACATTCTCATATTCTCACCCTCCTCTGACCTTGTGAAGGAGGTGATGCTGAAGCTGCATGACAAGTTCAAGTGCAAGTCCCTTGGTGACGTGAACTTCTACCTTGGGCTCCACATCGAACGAGACGTGGAGAAGCGGAGCATGCGAGTGCACCAACGGAAGTACCTGGAGGCGTTGGCTGCCAACTTCGGCCAGAGTGAAGGTCATGTGGCTACTCCCTTTCCCTCTGGGTTCAAGTGTGTGAAGGGGCCAGAGGAGGAGAGCGTTGGAGAAGAGGAGAGGCGCCGATTTCGCTCGTTGGTGGGCAGCCTCATGTATGCGGCGGTAAACACCCGACCGGACGTCGCGTTTGCTACCGGGCAGCTGGCTAGGGTTGTGCAATGCCCTAATGAGGAGCAGGTAGCAGCTGGAATGAGGGTGTCCAAGTATCTTGGCCAAACAGCGACCGTTGGGCTGCAATACTCGGCGGCGGCACAAAGGCGCCAAAAGGGCGCGGATGGTGTTGAACCCGGGCGTTTGTTCCTCACCGCCTACTCGGATGCTTCATATGCATCAGAACCAGAGGACATGACAAGTGTGGGAGGCTTCATATGCTGTGTTGGTGGAGGCCCAACTGCTTGGGAGAGCAAGAAGCAGGTTGACCAAGCTTTGAGCTCGGTGGAGTCCGAATACATGGCACTCTTCCGTGCCGTACGGGAGATTGTGTGGCAGCGGCGTTTGTTGGCTGAATTGGGGGAGGAGCAGCAAGGACCTACCCCACTGTATTGTGACAGCCAGGGTGCCATTGCTCTTGCTAAGAACCCTGTGTTGCATGGACTCACGAAGCACATGAGGGTGAAGTGGCATTGGACGAGGAGCATGGTAACCGCGGGTGAAGTTGAGTTGCGCTACGTTAAGACCATGGGGCAGCCGGCTGACATGATGACCAAGAGGCTGGTGGAGCAGCAGCATTGGAAGTGTTGCAAGTTGGCTGGGATGGCTCTGAACTGACAGAGCAACACATCCTAAGGCCAACAATCCGAGGGGGAGTTTGTTGGTGCAACCCTATGGTTTGCACTCGGCTTGTTGTCCGTGTGCGTGCATGTGTGTGTGTCTATGGAATGGTATGAGGGCATGGGATAATATATATTTAATGCTTATAATTGTGTGTGAATGTTGAGTCATGATGTCGAGTGTATGTGTCGAGTCAATAGCGAGTTATCGCTAGACGCGTGTTACGCGGTCGTTTGTGTCTCGCGCGCGGTTTCTATTTTGTCGTGCGCGGTTTCTCTTTTGTCCTGTGTCGAACGTTCGGTGTGTCGCAGGTGTGTGCAGCAGACCCATCAAGAACTCAAGGATGAGTTTGTGATGAAGAGCCGAGCCTTGGTGTCAATCCATAAGTGACTTCAAAGCTCGCCAAAAGGGTACACCTCAAGATATTGAAGATAGTTACATTACTTTGTGTAGTGTAACATTTCACTTGGTGTAGGCCCTAGTGAAGGGTAGTTTCGAGACCCTTCGTGGTTGGGGACAGTGTGGCACTGTTCCACATCACTGTACCTCGGCTCTTGGGGTTTGTAGGAGCTGGGAGTCATTCCCAACTCGTAACTCTTCCTAACTCTTCCTATCTTGTGTTCTAAGACCATAGTGGCTGCCATAGTGCCGTTCGTTCAAACCAACCCTGTGTCGTCAATACTTGGTCAAATCGTGCGATCTAAATTGCCTATTGTAGGCGACCAATAAGGCGCTCCAGATCCAAGTTGAATCAAGTCATTTGAAGCTGTGACCAAAACGCTATGAACGTTTGAAGCCGCTGTGCAGAAATCCGACTGTGCACTCTATCTTTCGTTTTAGGCACATTGGAGCCTGCTGTGACTATAACAGTTATGGAAGGAGGGAGAATGGGGCGGGGTGATGGAAGGAGAGAGAATGGGGCGGGGTGATGGAAAGCAAGTGAATGGGGCGGGGTGATGGAAAGCGTGAGAATAGGGCGGTGTGATGGAAAGCGGTAGGATGGGGCGGGGTGATGGAAGGAGGGAGAATGGGGAGGGGTGATGGAAAGCGGGAGAATGGGACGGGTTGATGGAAAGCGGGAGAATGGGGCGGGGTGATGGAAAGCGGGAGAATGGGGCGGGGTGATGGCAAGCGGGAGAATGGGGCGGGGTGATGGAAAGCGTGAGAATGGAGCGGGTGATGTAAAGCGGGAGAATGGGGCGGGGTGATGGAAAGCGGGAGAATGGGGCGAGGTGATGGAAAGCGGGAGAATGGGGCGGGGTGATGGAAAGCGGGAGAATCGGGCGGGGTGATGGAAAGCGGGAGAATGGGGCAGGGTGATGGAAAGAGGGAGAATGGGACGGGGTGATGGAAAGCTGGAGAATGGGACGGGGTGATGGAAAGCGGGAGAATGGGGCGGGGTGATGGAAAGCGGGAGAATGGGGCGGGGTCATGGAAGGAGGGAGAATGGGGCGGGGTCATGGAAGGAGGGAGAATGGGGCAGGGTGATGGAAAGCAGGAGAATGGGGAGGGGTGATGGAAAGCGGGAGAATGGGGCGGGGTGATGGAAAGCGGGAGAATGGGGCGGGGTGATGGAAAGCGGGAGAATGGGGCGGGGTGATGGAAAGTGGGGGAATAGGGCGGGGTGATGGATGGCGGGAGAATGGGGTGGGGTGACGGAAAGCGGGAAAATGGGGCGGGGTGATGGAAAGCGGGAGAATGGGGCTGGGTGATGAAATGCGGAAGAATGGGGCGGGGTGATGGAAAGCAGGAGAATGGGGCGGGGTGATGGAAGGAGGGAGAATGGGGCGAGGTGATGGAAGAAGGGAGAATGGGGCGGGGTGATGGAAAGCGGGAGAATGGGGCGGGGTGATGGAAAGCAGGAGAATGGGGCGGGGTGATGGAAAGCGGGAGAATAAGGCGTGGTGATGGAAAGCGGGAGAATTGGGCGGGGTGATGGAAAGCGGGAGAATGGGGCGGGGTGATGGAAGGAGGGGGAATGGGGCGGGGTGATGGAAAGCGGAGAATGGTGCGGGGTGATGGAAAGCGGGAGAATGGGGCGGGGTGATGGAAAGCGGGAGAATGGGGCGGAGTGATGGATAGCGGGAGAATGGGGCGGGGTGATGGAAAGCGGGAGAATCGGGCGGGGTGATGGAAAGCGGGAGAATGGGGCAGGGTGATGGAAAGAGGGAGAATGGGACGGGGTGATGGAAAGCTGAAGAATGGGGCGTGGTGATGGAAAGCGGGAGAATGGGACGGGGTGATGGAAAGCGGGAGAATGGGGCGGGGTGATGGAAAGCGGGAGAATGGGGCGGGGTAATGGAAGGAGGGAGAATGGGGCGGGGTCATGGAAGGAGGGAGAATGGGGCAGGGTGATGGAAAGCAGGAGAATGGGGAGGGGTGATGGAAAGCGGGAGAATGGGGCGGGGTGATGGAAAGCGGGAGAATGGGGCGGGGTGATGGAAAGCGGGAGAATGGGGCGGGGTGATGGAAAGTGGGGGAATGGGGCGGGGTGATGGATAGCGGGAGAATGGGGCGGGGTGACGGAAAGCGGGAAAATGGGGCGGGGTGATGGAAAGCGGGAGAATGGGGCTGGGTGATGAAATGCGGAAGAATGGGGCGGGATGATGGAAAGCAGGAGAATGGGGCGGGGTGATGGAAGGAGGGAGAATGGGACGAGGTGATGGAAGAAGGGAGAATGGGGCAGGGTGATGGAAAGCGGGAGAATCAGGCGTGGTGATGGAACGCGGGAGAATGGGGCGGGGTGATGGAAGGAGGGGGGATGGGGCGGGGTGATGGAAAGCGGGAGAATGGTGTGGGGTGATGGAAAGCGGGAGAATGGGGCGGGGTGATGGAAAGCGGGAGAATGGGGCGGGGTGATGGATAGCGGGAGAATGGGGCGGGGTGATGGAAAGCGGGAGAATGGGGAGGGGTGATTGAAGGAGGGAATGGGGTGGGGTGATGGATAGCGGGAGAATGGGGCGGGGTGACGGAAAGCAGGAAAATGGGGCGAGGTGATGGAAAGCGGGAGAATGGGGCTGGGTGATGGAATGCGGAAGAATAGGGCGGGGTGATGGAAAGCAGGAGAATGGGGTGGGGTGATGGAAGGAGGGAGAATGGGGCGGGGTGATGGAAGGAGGGAGAATGGGGCGGGGTGATAGAAAGCGGGAGAATGGGGCAGGGTGATGGAAAGCAGGAGAATGGGGCGGGGTGATGGAAAGCGGGAGAATGGGCCGGGGTGATGGAAGGAGGGAGAATGGGGCAGGGTGATGGAAGGAGGGAGAATGGGGCGGGGTGATGGAAAGCGGGAGAATGGGGCGGGGTGATGGAAAGCGGGAGAATGGGGCGGGGTGATGGAAAGCGGGAGAATGAGGCAGGGTGATGGAAAGCGGGAGAATGGGTCGGGGTGATGGAAAGCGGGAGAATGGGGCGGGGTGATGGAAAGCGGGAGAATGAGGCGGGGTGATGGAAAGCGGGAGAATGGGGCGACGTGATGGGAGGAGGGAGAATGGGGCGGGATGATGGAAAACGGGAGAATGGGGCGGGATGATGGAAAGCGGGAGAATGGGGCAAGGTGATAGAGAGCGGGAGAATGGGGCGGGGTGATGGAGAGCGGGAGAATGGGGCGGGGTGATGGAAAGCGGGAGAATGGGGCAGGGTGATGGAATGTGGGAGAATGGGGCGGGGTGATGGAAAGCGCGAGAATGGGGCGGGGTGACGGAAAGCGGGAGAATAGGGCGGGGTGATGGAAAGCGGGAGAATGGGGCGGGGTGATGGAAAGCGGGAGAATGGGGCGGGGTGATGGAAAGAGGGAGAATGGGGCGGGGTGATGGAAAGAGGGAGAATGGGGCGGGGTGATGGAAAGCGGGAGAATGGGGCGGGGTGATGGAAAGCGGGAGAATGGGGCGGGGTGATGGAAAGCGGGAGAATGGGGCGGGGTGATGGAAAGAGGGAGAATGGGGCGGGGTGATGGAAAGCAGGAGAATGGGGTGGGGTGATGGAAAGAGGGAGAATGGGGCAAGGTGATGGAAAGCAGGAGAATGGGGCGGGGTGATGGAAAGTGGGAGAATGGGGCGGGGTGATGGAAAGCGGGAGAATGGGGCGGGGTGATGGAAAGCGGGAGAATGGGGCGGGGTGATGGAAAGCGGGAGAATGGGGCGGGGTGATGGAAAGCGGGAGAATGGGGCGGGGTGATGGAAAGCGGGAGAATGGGGCGGGGTGATGGAAAGCGGGAGAATGGGGCGGGGTGATGGAAAGAGGGAGAATGGGGCGGGGTGATGGAAAGCAGGAGAATGGGGCGGGGTGATGGAAAAAGGGAGAATGGGGCGGGGTGATGGAAAGCAGGAGAATGGGGCGAGGTGATGGAAAGCGAGAGAATGAGGCGGGGTGATGGAAAGCGGGAGAATTGGGCGGGGTGATCGAAAGTGGGAGAATGGGGTGGAGTGATGGGAAGAGGGAGAACGGGGCGGGGTGATGGGAAGCGGGAGAATGGGGTGGGGTGATGAAAAGCGGGAGAATGGGGCGGGGTGATGGAAAGCGGGAGAATGGGGTGGGGTGATGGAAAGCGGGAGAATGGGGCGGGGTGATGGAAAGCCGGAGAATGGGGCGGGGTGATGGAAAGCGGGAGAATGGGGCGGGGTGATGGAAAGCGGGAGAATGAGGCGGGGTGATGGAAAGCGGGAGAATGGGGTGACGTGATGGGAGGAGGGAGAATGGGGCGGGATGATTGAAAGCGGGAGAATGGGGCGGGATGATGGAAAGCGGGAGAATGGGGCAAGGTGATGGAGAGCGGGAGAATGGGGCGGGGTGATGGAAAGCGGGAGAATGGGGCGGGGTGATGGAAAGCGGGAGAATGGGGCGGGGTGATGGAAAGAGGGAGAATGGGGCGGGGTGATGGAAAGCGGGAGAATGGGGCGGGGTAACGGAAAGCGGGAGAATGGGGCGGGGTGATGAAAAGCGGGAGAATGGGGCGGGGATATGGAAAGCGGGAGAATGGGGCGGGGTGATGGAAAGCGGGAGAATCGGGCGGGGTGATGGAAAGCGGGAGAATGGGGCGGGGTGATGGAAAGAGGGAGAATGGGACGGGGTGATGGAAAGCTGGAGAATGGGGCGTGGTGATGGAAAGCGGGAGAATGGGACGGGGTGATGGAAAGCGGGAGAATGGGGCGGGGTGATGGAAAGCGGGAGAATGGGGCGGGGTAATGGAAGGAGGGAGAATGGGGCGGGGTCATGGAAGGAGGGAGAATGGGGCAGGGTGATGGAAAGCAGGAGAATGGGGAGGGGTGATGGAAAGCGGGAGAATGGGGCGGGGTGATGGAAAGCGGGAGAATGGGGCGGGGTGATGGAAAGCGGGAGAATGGGGCGGGGTGATGGAAAGTGGGGGAATGGGGCGGGGTGATGGATAGCGGGAGAATGGGGCGGGGTGACGGAAAGCGGGAAAATGGGGCGGGGTGATGGAAAGCGGGAGAATGGGGCTGGGTGATGAAATGCGGAAGAATGGGGCGTGATGATGGAAAGCAGGAGAATGGGGCGGGGTGATGGAAGGAGGGAGAATGGGACGAGGTGATGGAAGAAGGGAGAATGGGGCGGGGTGATGGAAAGCGGGAGAATGGGGCGGGGTGATGGAAGCGGAAGAATGGGGGCGGGGTGATGGAAAGCGGGAGAATCAGGCGTGGTGATGGAAAGCGGGAGAATTGGGCGGGGTGATGGAAAGTGGGAGAATGGGGCGGGGTAACGGAAAGCGGGAGAATGGGGCGGGGTGATGAAAAGCGGGAGAATGGGGCGGGGTGATGGAAAGCGGGAGAATGGGGCGGGGTGATGGAAAGCGGGAGAATCGGGCGGGGTGATGGAAAGCGGGAGAATGGGGGCGGGGTGATGGAAAGAGGGAGAATGGGACGAGGTGATGGAAAGCTGGAGAATGGGGCGTGGTGATGGAAAGCGGGAGAATGGGACGGGGTGATGGAAAGCGGGAGAATGGGGCTGG